AACTCAGTTTCAGATGGTTTTTCGTCGATTCACGACGATCCGATCATCCGTTTACGACACCTCACGCACCATCGTGTTCCTTGCATCGTTCCGAGTCCACCGGTGTTTTTCGTTTCTCCGTCGTCGCCGGCGCGTGGAGGGGTGAGACCGTCAAAGTTTTCGACGTTTCGAAATCGAGCTCTTCGCTGTTCAAATTTGTGAACCGAGCTTTGTAAGTGCCTCAAAATCGCTTAAAATAATTTTTAGGAAATTTTTCCGGGAATTTTCCGACACCGTATAACTGTTCACGCGCCGCACGCGCTATCCCCTGAGAGTGGGCATCGTCTGGGCGATAATTTAGTAATTAATTTATGTTTGAGTGCTATTTGTGTAAAATTCGGGTGCTAGATTGATAAATATTTGTAGAATGTGGCTAATTTGGTAATTAATTTCTGTTATGGTGATATTTGTGTAAAATGGTCGATTGTTGACCGTTGACCGACGTTGACCACATTTGACTGGCTTTGACCGGGCATTAAACGACCTTTGACTTTGATCGAATATACCTATCCTGATATTTTTCGACGTTCTAAATCCGATTCCGCAGTCTGTTTTTCAAAATTCGGACTCGAAGGCCTCGAAATTATTAGTCAAACCTATTGACTTTGATTTTGACCGAAAATTCCAAATTTTTGAAAAGTCATATTTTATGCTTTCGACGTCCTGAATCCGAATCCGAAGTCTGTTTCGCCAAATTCGAACCCGGTAAGCTTTTTTTCACTGATTTTATCACCCGATTCGATCCGTTTATCGCAACTAAGCTCCGTTTTTGATATAATTTATGTTGATATGTATTTGAGGAATTATTGGAAGTTGAATTAAAGATCAAAGGCGTTCGGATGGAATTTTTATGGTCGATCAGTATTGCACGGAAATCGAGGTAATACTTTACTACCTCTTTATGCTTTATGGAATATGTTGATATTGGTAAATGCATGAATAAGATAATTTTGATCACTTTTGTGGAGTGAAATAATTTATGCACTCGATATGAATGTGGTAGTAATTCTGTAACTGAATACGGATCGAATGACTAATACAAAAGATTGAGGAATTGTTATAATTAAATTATAAGTTTGTGGTTAGTGATAAAGAAATCAACCCTGGATTTGTAACTTATATGTTATATCATCAAAGGTACTTAGATGGGAAATTATGAGAATACTTCGGTAGGGTAAAATTACGAAAATACCCTTATATTGTAGGATGACAAGAATTGTCCCTGGAAGTTGGTTAATAACTCTAAAAAGACATTGATCCGATATAATTACAGATGTGCATAAGAAATGATAGTTTTGTTTAGAAAATTTGGATAACTGGTTTTTAACGCCAACAATTGTTTGCGCAAGATGCTAGAAGTTTGTTAAGGAATAATTTCAAGTTTAGAGAATGTTCGAGAAAGCAATTGACCATAGGATCTTTAAATTATAATTATTTTCGTTAAGAGCTAATATCGAGATTATCTAGTTAAGAAATTACGAAAATGCCCTTGAGAGGTAAAAATAGTCCGAGTTGACCCGAAATGAGAAAGTACTTTGAGGATTTGTACTTAACTCGATAAATTACGGAATTAATTGTTAAGATCATGTCTTTGTATAGAAAAATTCATGATATTCAGTTTGTAAAATCTGAGAATGCACTTGACCCGAAAATATCCAAGTAATGAGTAAATACCTGAAGAATAGTTTATCGGGGGTATTCTGTTGTCAGAATTGTTCAAAATGACTGAAATCAAGGATAAGATTTAATTTAATAGTAAGATTGGATGGAAGAAAATATTAAAATACACTGAATCTATAAAATGACCAAAATACCCCTGTAATGGAAATGACCCAAGAATATCACCAAGCTCAGGAATGATTCGATATCCTCGAGCTATGTAATGATTTGAATAAAACTGAACACCAAAATGACCAAAATACCCTTATGGCCTATACCAAGTAAATGTCTTGGATTAATTAAGGAATCGAAGTAAGCACAGGTATTGGACTATCTTTAAAAGTAATGGAGCACAATTTAAATGAGTAGATCAACCCTAAAGCTATATCAATACCTGAACGACATAGATATTACTGGAATAAGTGTTCGTCTTCTCAAGTTTGGCTCGATGATAAATTTTGGAAGTATTCAGCTCAACTCAACTCTAGATCACATTCAGTATTAAGAATTGGACGTTTATTCAACAAATCAACCACGAAGACCAAATTGAATGGAACAGAAGTACAACATGTATATGAAATTCAGTAACGTTTGAATTACTCTGGAAAATCCCGAAGTAACTGGAATTCACTTGAATGCTAAATGAACTAAGTAACCGCAAGGACTGAGGATTAAGTAAGAGATTGAAATAAGTTTGGAAACTCGGATGAACTTATGTGATGTATCATCCATATGGATTATGAATCACAAATAAAGTACGTCAGCATTTCCTGGTATAGTTGAAACATGGAAATGAAATAAAGACCATTAGAATATTTGTTAGTCTCCTTAAGATATATTCAGTGATGACTCAGAAGATGATCCATGGATAAGAATATTTGGTATTAAAGAGTGAATAACCTGGAAGGTTAATGAATTGAAAAGTTGATAAGTATTGGTTATGGAAGCTATTCATCTGGAGTTGTTCGATAATCGGATTTATCATCATAGATGGTAAAGATTCTGAATACCCTTCAGATTTCGTAGAGCTTCCGAAAATTATTCGAATAAGATGATCCTAATAAATTATATTCTGAATAACTGATGATTCTGTCAGTTATTGAACTCTTCCAATAGTGATTCTAAATTCCGACATTCTATTGGTGTATGAAAGATCCTTGTTTCTTCTGTCTGATAAGATTATCCAATACCTCTGAATAATATCTGTAAACTCTAGTGTGTTCCCTAAACATTTAAATATTTTATCTGATTTATGACTTGAATTATGTTCTGATACATGACCTGAATTCTGTTCTGATTTCTGATCTAGATTCTGTTCTGATATCTGTTTTGAATTTTGCTTTGATTTCTGATATCTTCGTTTACTGACGGAAAAATGTTTTAATTGGGGGGTATTGTTGAAGGAAGTATTTCCGCAGGTTCCTCGGCTTTGTGCTCAGGGCCTTACAAATTGTGTGGGTTGGGTGTATGGTTCTGGGGAACCTACACATTATGTTGTGTTGGGATGGGGGTATATATATATATATGTTTTAAAAAGATCTGAAAAATTAAATGGTTTTTGGAAACACACTAGACAACCTATTCTGACCTCCTAAACTCAGTCATCTGAAATATTTCTCTGAATTGAAAGCTCATTGTCCGTTACCACCTGAAATATCAGTAGGATCTCTGCTCAGCATAAAAATCTGTAAATGTTCGGAAACAATAAGGAAATATATGTTTATCTGTATCTGCACGTTCATCAGCATCATCTGGTAGTTCTGTATTACTGAGCTTTCCAAAGCTCACTCTGTTACTCATATTTTCAGGCTAAAAGAACTGTACCAATGCACCTATCGACTTCAGTAAGGGAGTTCTTCTGATGCTATTTGCATAGTACGGTACATGTGATTAGGGGGCATGTAATTGTATTTTGTTTTATATAAAAGTCTGAAAATCTGTTTTATTTTTTAATAGTGACAAATGAATTTATGAGTTTACAAGTTTTAAGAAAAGTTTTAAATTTTCCGCTATTTTTATAGTGGGTCGCTCCGGTGGCCCTAATGTGACACTCCAGATCGGATCGAATTACCTGCATCGGTCTGAGGGGGTTACATTTAGTGGTCATACAAAAACAATATCAGACAGAATCGTTATCGCTATATAACAGACATTGTTACGATAACATATTACTATTTAAATCCTTGGTAGAAACTAATGACATCGAAACGAAGAGTCAAATCTTAATACAAATTCACAAACACCCAACAAAGAGAGAGACATAGCACTAAACTTGGATTATATCTGCAGCGAAGATTAAAACACTGGTTTACAAGTAGGGATGGTCATGGGTTAAATTGAGTTAGACTTTTATCTACTTAAAGTTAATCAGAGTATAACATCCTTCTATCTGTTACTCAATCCGAGTTTAGGTAAATTTCATCCGACCCGATTATTAAGATAAAATCTTGCACTCCACCTGACAAATATATATATATAATTCACATATTTATTAGATAAAATAGGAAGCCAATTGAAAAAATATAGATAAAGAGGATTTATAACAATTTTTCCTAAATATACAAAGTTTACCCTTAGCTTGAATCAAAATTTTAAAAAATAACTCAATCCTATAAAATCAAGAGGAATCTAAACTTATCAGGTTTGAACCAAATGTTCATCCCTATTTATAAGGTGTAGTTTAGCACAGCAATTTGACCCTCCATCAAAATTTCTGATTTAATACGATCTAGCAAGCACATCTTGATGGATGGTAGCTTGGAAATGTATAAACTTAGCGATTTCATTGCATGATTAGTCAAAGATTCAGTTAAATAGACAACTGCAATTGAACCATAATTGTTGCATTTACGGGATTTTAAAATTGATTTTAGATTATTTTTTTTAATTTAACGGGAATGTAAAGAGATCGTAAAAAGATGAGAAAAAAAGCATATGTCCTGATTCAAATAAAACTGTTTCCCTTACTAGTTTAACGTTAATGCTTGACTTAAATACATTAATAATTTTAATATTTAACTCGTTTCTAATCTATTAAACGACTATTCCGAATCGAATTTTCCACAAGTCCATTATGAAACAACCCTCCCAATCTAATTTGTTTCATTCGCAAACGTCGTAGTTCAAACTCCTAGCCTTGTTTAAGGAATCTAGTGTTTCATTCCACTAGATCAATTGATTATCCGCATGTCATCTTTTTATTGATGACACACGACACATCTTAAAAAAATCATATAATCAAAAGTTGTTAAAAATAAACGTAAATTTGATTTTTATTTATTTATTTTATCGGCTTCCGTAGGGGGAAGCACATGTAGAATCAATTAAGAATGAAAATGTTAAAATCTTTAACAAAAATTTCACATGTCTACTAGTTTACTCAACAAAGAAATCAAAATCAGAAAGCCGTAAATCTGCAAGGACTCAAATTTCTAATAGATCATACAGAGCAAACACGATTCCCCGTAAATTCGCAAGCTACGAATACACGAGTTAGCTTAGCCACTTCCGGATTTAAGTGTGTTACTCAACCTACAATGAGCAAAAATAAATTCATGGAGTTGAGAAAAGAAAAGTGAAAATTCATCTCAGATGTTTTCTACTTGTGCTAATTCTAAGAATCATCAATCGTAAGTGGCTAAAACAATGTCCAAGAAGTGAACAGAATCAAATAAAACATTGGCAGAGTAGGCAGTCATGTACAAGTGTCCTTGCCTTCATTATGACATGCTACCGTTCATAAAGATGAACTATTCAATGTGCATAAACAATTAACTTACCATTCTGCTACAGAAAATTATGAATTTGCAAGGAGAGGATGGGATTTACTTTGAAAAGAAAATTAACACTTTGAAGTTGTTATCCATAAATGCATGTGATGAATCTCATCATAGCATGGGTGGCATTATATATGTAACTATCGAATTTGGCCAATCTAATTCAAGAAAAACATGTGATCCAAAACCTACCAGTCCAAGCCTTCGAAAAGGCCTTCCCCTTTAGTCGCCGAAGTTTTAAAAATAGCCCATTGGCGGTTTTTTATCTTGTGCAACTCCAAAGCCTCTGTCACCGCAGCAGCATCAACTGCACCTGGAAGATCCTGTATGCTCCAATAAATGTGACATTAACTACAAGAAAATTTCATAAATAAAAAATAACCAAAGATTTTTACAATATTTGGTCACCAAATGAAAAGGTTATTCCTCTTTTCTCACTAAAATTTTTGAGGATGTATTTGGGAGGAACTTCAATTTGAAATAATGGATTTGGATTGCATATTAACCACTAATTTGAGCAATAGAACTCATGAAGTTCATATTCATGATTAATGTATACATGATGTATTCATTCTCAATGTGTACGGTAAACAAAATCCAAGTTAACTCTCTAATATGATGACCATAACCAGCTTTTGCTCAATATCACACATAAGAAAAGCAAAAAGAATGAGTTCTAACACAGCTCCAAGAAGAAGAAAAATAGAACCAACCTGTTTATTTGCGAAAATAAGAACTACTGCTCCTCTTAGCTCCTCCTCCTGCAAAGATTCACACAAACTATAACAAAAGAAGCATGAAAACATATAAATCAAGCATTAAAAAGTAAAAAAAATATTGGAAGCACCAAGCAGTAGTTCATAATAGATGTATAAGCTAATCTTGATTGATAGTGAAAGGGGGAAAAGGTATACTTGATGACCTGTGAAGTGTGAAGTGTGAAGTGTGAAGCATGGACATGGATAACGAATACAGTTGCAACATGACACGGTAATTATTAAAATTCTAGGACACGGCAGGGCAAAAATACATCAATTAAAATCTGCAAAATGAATTTTATTTTTACATTTCATATCAAAGTTCTTTTTAATTAAAGTATTTTAATGAATAATTTTATTATTATCAGCTAATTTTAAATTTTTTATTCCTTGAAAAATAATTAATATTTTAAATTTTAATTAATCTTTTTATTTTGGGGCTAAAATAAAATATTGAAAGTTTGGGTTTTTTCAACCTTTTAGCCCAAGCCCAACTTCTAATTAAAATACCACTAAAAAGGGGTCCTACTTTTTCATTTCCTCTTTCTTCCTGCCTTCTTTTTATCTTTCTTCCTCCTTTTTCTTTCTTCGGTCGCTGCATCTGCTTCACCTTATTCACTATAATTTCATGCAATCTATGTTGCTCCCTGAAATAGATCGCCAAACTAGTTTCTTATGTCCAATTTTCCCCCTATTCCAACTAATATAGTACGTATTCCGGCTTGTCGCGGCATGCCTGTGTCGGACATCTGTACAAGCAGGGTTCACGAATGTCCATGCTTCTCAGTTCATATATTTTTCGTGGGAAACGAATGACTAGTAGAAAAAGTAATCTTCTAAATCTGTCTTCATAGAAATAAATAAAATACATTAAAGGAAGAGAAATACAGCAAGACCATAAAACCCTGAAATAACATTTAAAAATTGAAGATAATCATAAGGAAATGACCTTCAAGGGGGAGCAGCAGAAAGGCAACAGAAAGATTTCACAGCATGGAATATCTTATGGACGGCACTAGTTACACCAGTAAAATACAGAAATATGAGCAAATATATCTTGGTGAATTTACCTCCAAGATAGCATGAAATTCTTCTTTAGCTATCACCAGCCTATCTGTGTCACTTGAATCAACAACATAGATTATGGCCTGAGTATTTGGAAAGTAGCATCTCCAATATGGCCTGCAGAGCAAAAGAAAATTGGAACCTTGGTTGGTGATCTATTTCAGGGAGCAACATGTTATCAAGTGCATCCAGATAAATAATATATAATTCATAAAATAAAACTTGATTAGAATGAGCAAATGATACATAAATCATACACTAAAACCTGAATTTTTTTGCCTGGCATGAATACACTGTGCGATGGAAAACTTATTTTATTTTATTTCTTTTTTTTTTATAGAAATTGGAGGTCTCATTAAAAACTCCCTTCGTATTCGTTCACATACTAAGAAGTATGTTAACGAACATTGGAAGGAAGAAAAGAATACCTCATAGTTTATTATTAATAATACCCAATACAAAAGACAACACGGAAAATCCTCCTATGGTCATTACAACAAACACCTTAAACTCATATATCCTCGTTCTAAGCCACAGTCGAATCACCTTAATTCTAATTACACCTCCAACAATTGGATTAAAAACAACGCAAAAGAACATAATACAAAGGAAAAGCAACACCTGCAATCATTTAAACTAAATCAAAGCCACAATTGGAGAGACGAGATCTAATGAGATTCGTCTTCTTCATGAGCCCAAGAGTTTGGTTTGAATGAAGGCTCTATCTCGTGCACCATGATATTGAAAGAGTTGTCACCAACCTTCAATTCCAACGTCGCATCAATTCTCGCATCAACCTTTGTGAGGACTTGAATTTTTGCCCGATCAAAGGATGATGGTGACTGACAGCTTTCGTTGATTGCTAGTAAATAACCCCACTTATCAGCAATGTTCTTGAAAGTATCCCAAGTCCATGCGTGAAAAGGAACACCCTCGCAAACTAACCATACTCGACGACACTCCATTACCAAACTCTCAGACCAAGCTTCGACTCTGGAGAACCACATTGCGAGAGTCTCTGATTTATCGTTCTTCACACTTCTCAATGAAGCAGAGTCTTCGAAAATCATTAAAACCGCATTTCCTGCAGCTCTCATTAAGGAGAAGCCAATGAGGCTCTTCGCATGCATTTGTCTAGCGAGATGACCGATTTTGATAAAGTCCTTGCACCACCCCACTAGACAATTGCTCATCACTTAAATTTTTTCTTCATCCATAACGCCTTCAACTTCATAATGATTCTTCCTCGAATCACCTTCCATCCCGGACTTGCGGTGAACAACTGTCGAGGACTTTCTCCAATAGAAATGTCGAGGTTTGAATTTAGCGAAAGAAACACCAATTTTGTTGTCGTCGTTATGAGAACCTTTCATTTTTGATATCGCTCTCCTTGCTTCTTCGATTGTTGCGAAGCGGATGAAACCAAAGCGAACTCCTTTTGAATTTCTTTTATTTGGAATAAAAGTATCAAGAACCCGACCGTGGGAGCAAAATAAAGATCCAAACCACTTCCAATGGATCTTCTCTGGTAAATTTTCAACAAATAACGTGTAGCATCCATACTTGTCATTACTGCACCCCTTTATAGTGGACTCCTTGGTTCGCTCGTGAACACCATCTACTGCAGATTTTTCATCGCAACACCCAGCTTTACCAGGCACATGAATACTAGGAGATGCTACAGAAGCTGAATTTGGCATTGGCAGTACTGGAGGAACAAGATCACATCCATACTTGTCTAAAGCATCAGAAACTGTAACTATTCCTCTTTTAACAACAAGATTCTTCCTTGTCATCTCAATGTGCAGAAGGGACTTCAACTTAGCATCAAAAACAATTTTCTGAAGGGCATCCATGGCAGCAACTGCAAATTCTGCATTTGAGAAGAGAGCGAAACCCTTAGGCTTTTCTCCCTTATAGCTCACTTGCGAAGCTCCAAAACCTGGAAGCCATCTTAGTAGATTCTGCAACTCTCTCTCTTTGACATCTTCAGGCAGACCCATAATGAAGATCGTACGAACCTCGTCGTGATGAGAAGGGTGAGATGGCGGAGAAGGCGCGACTGTAGAGGGCGGAGAAGCTTGGACCGGAGGCCTCTGCTGGAGAAAAATTCCAGCACCCAGCATGTGATTATTATCTGTTAAAGTTAAAATCACAGTGATTTGACGAAACTTCCTTGACGCGCGCCCAGTGGTGGTGAATGCTGTGACTGCCGGCGAAGAAGAGAAGGGTGGAGGTGATGAAGAGAGTCCAACAGGTAGAACTTGAACCTGAGGAAAGATGAAACTAAGTAGTTGTCCTTCAACCAAACCCTCAGAGATGGTTTAGATGGGGAGAACAACTTGACAGAACCATGGCTTGTTATGTTTTTGTCAAACCGGTCGAAGACTGATTCACAGAGATTGGCAACGAGTCTGGACGCTCGTATAGATGGGATTTATTCAAGAGTGTACGGCGAGCCTAGTGGTAAGCAGGTGTATTGGCAACGGACGGTGGCGTAAATCGGTGAAAACCGGCGTTTAGATCTATGCCGATTGACCGACTTTCTCGTAAATCTAATCTCGAAAATGGAATCAGAGTGAGGAGACGAACTTATTGAGGAGAAACGGCGGCGAACGGATGACAGAGTGTGGCGAAGGACGGCAGGCGACGGACAGCGGTCGGTGATGATTAACGTCGGCGGACGGCGATGGAAAAGATGAAATGATGGATGAAAATAAAAGCACCTTGAACCATGAGAGAAGCAGGAGCTTCTCACTAGGTTTGAAATTATTTCACAAATTATAGACAGTGGAACAGCCCGGAATAGCACTCTCAATTAAATCACAAGTCCTAATTACAAGTGGTGGTGTAAAGTGAGGAAACCATGACATCATATTAAAATGACATGACAGACACTAAGTAGGTTTGTTTGATACCAAAAGAATGAAACAAAAGGCATTTTCAAGAACATTTAAATGTTAATATACAATAGCCTTAAAACATAGGGTCAGAGTGTACAGTGAAAACAGTTTTAGACAGTCTCTCAAATGTATAGAAGGAGAGGCTAAGATGGTTTATTGTTAGTTGTGGCATTTTGAAGATGTTTATTATCCTAGCCGATCTTTAGCAAAAATGAGTTCAATAGCAGTAAAAGTAAATAAATGTTATAACTATATCCAATCACAAATTTACTACATCTGATCTGGTTCAAGTAGCTGGATATGTATAAACAGTACAACTAAAGTATCAAAATGATTCTTTCTTTATGCATCAAACATTAATCAGAATAAGTCGCAATGAAATGGATATAACCATATTAGACATACACCGTATCTTTTCTGTAATTAACACAACACATTGTTTATTGTACAACTTTGAAGAGAAACAATATTAGCTCTATTAAATGGTCTAAGTAGCCAATGGCCTATTGTAGATGCACAAAGGCACAACTTTACATAGAGGTTTAGGGCACCAAATATCTCACGAAAGAGTTGCCCGTAAAAAGTAAGTTAAATAAATAATAAAGAATTACAAAAATAGAAAGCGAAGAAAAATTATGTTTGGAAAAGTTTACCTGATACTTGTCTGTCCACCTGCATCAGTAAATGATAAAGATGTCATCAGGACAAATAGTTGGCATTACCTATGTTTGACTAATAAAACTAAATAACCCAGAATGAAAAAAAAAAAACTTTCAAAACAATGTATTCAATTTAAGCCTAATACTAAGACCAATGGCTTCGAATAACAGCAAAATTGCATCAGAAAAGAAGGTTGCAGAAATTCAGTTTGAACTGGCAAGCAAAGTTAAGCTTCTATTGTTTCTTGTTTCTCCAATAGGTGTGGCAGATGTCTCTAAATAAGTGAAAGTTCTATTTCACCCAGCTTCAAAAAAGTTCCTCTGACGAAAAAGAGCACTTAGTTCTGTAAACTTGCTTCAAGTTGTTACTTACTATGATGGTTCTCACAAGAGATACTTATAATAGATGAATAAAGACATAGGAGAGCAGTAAAAGAATCATGTGAATTGAGGGTAAAAGGCCAGTTAATCAAGACTTAGAGTACCATAAGTGAGAATTACTTCATTAAAGTCTTTGATATAAGAAATAGAAGGTTTAAAATCTCAACATATTAACTGTTTCTTCTTACTGAAATTTCTGTAAGCTACAGAGGTTGTGTGCGCTCTAATATGATTCTAATATCAATACATCCTGTGATTTAGTTTTCCATATCTTCAACCATAAAACAATCAATCGACAGGAATATATAATCAAAATCCCAGGACATTTCTAAATGTTAAGATATAGATCAAGGAATACTGGTCCGCATACCTAAATCCCAAACTTGGAATTTGATGTTATTGTACTGCACCGTTTCCACATTAAATCCAATTGCTGCACCATAAAGAACACAACAAATTAAACATCAATTCTTAAATATTGAAGAAGACTTTGATCCGCTGATTTGAAAATAACAACGGATCAAATTCCAACTTCCCCTCAACATATCAAAATGCTCAATGATCCCCCAAAAAACAAAACAAAGAAATGAAAAAAATGAATAAGGACTAACTCGGTATCGTGGAGACAACTTCACCCATCTGGAGCCGATCTGCAACCAAAACCCTCAGTATTAACAAAAAAATTGGAAATACCCATTTCATATTCCCGAAATGAAAAAATGGGCATCTCTTAAAACAGTAAAAAAAAAGAAGAAACGAGAAGTAATACAGAGAATGGTGGTTTTGCCGGCATTGTCGAGGCCGAGAACAAGTATACGAGCCTCCTTGTTTCCAAAGAGTGAAGAGAACAATTTTGTAAACATTAGACCCATCTGGTTAAATATAGCACAAAATTACTCTCTCAGTGCATGAATTTTGGATCAGATCTCCAAAGCGGCACCCCTTTCGATTTCCTCCCTATACAAAAGGAGAGGGCTTGCTTGCCGGAGGAGTTGAGACTTCGAGAAGGGTAAAATTGTGAATTCCAAAAAATAGAGGGGTGAGAAATGCAAAGTGTTTTTCTTTTTATTTTTTCCGAAGAGTTTCTTAACGAAGGCGACATTAAAATAAACTTGTTTACTTTTTGGTTTAAAGGCTTGATTGTCCTTTAAAATATTTTTTTTATTTTGTAAAACATAATTTTTTTCATAATATTTTTTGTCATAAACATTATTAAAAATAATTTTACATATATAATTAGTTTTATTAAAAAGATAAAATATCTATAATGATAATGAATGTTAATAATATTATCATAAATTAAACACATAATTCGACATTTTCTTATAATCATTAATACAAGAAATTAGTCACGTAAGAACTAACAAAGATCATACAAAAGAAATTTTAAAAAAACTTAATAAAATAAGAATAAAAGATATATACGAAAAGATTTCGCATCTGTAAACAAATCACAAAATGAGATCAAGCTACTGAAAAATCACCTGACAAATCATAGATCAGAGTCAAGCGATGTGAGAAAATTATTCACGAACACAAATCGCGTATCCAATTGAGGATCCAAAGCATGAAATATCATCATGATAATAAATAAGTGTCGTCTTGATTAGTCATGACGATGTCAAATCCAATCATGAGAAAAAAATTAACGAAAACAACGACCAAACGGACGAAAATATGCTAAAAGATAAAGAGAAATGTGTCACAAAGACATCAAAAAAAGTATTATAAAGGCAAAGTTACTAAAACTGAAAAGCAAAAAAAAAAGAAAAAATAAGTGTTATATAAGAAAGAAAACGAGAGAAAAAATATTGACGACGATGATCAATATTAAAATTAGTATTGTCGTTTATCAACTAAAGATAAAGAAAAAGATAAACGACATTTAGGATTTCTTAAAACTTTTAGTAGTCAGTGATGATAAAATTTCACATAAAATTTTAAATTTTAAAATTTAAATTTTATATAATAAAAATAATGTGATATTATATTATGATGATATTAAAGTTCAACGTTAATTTTTAAAGGTATAGAAAATAAGATGTCAACAAAAACAAAACAAAAAAACATTGATATATAATCGCAAAAATATTAGATTGAGAAAAACTCAAAAACCGACTTGTACCCTTTTTTTCTTTTGCGTGGAGAATAAATAATCATAATCAACAATATTTGGTCAAGTGGAAACCAAGTAAATAATTAATATATCAAAAGAAAATTAATCCGACCTTAGCTCAGTTGGTAGAGCGGAGGACTGTAGTTGGTTTTCCTCGGTTAATCTTTAGGTCGTTGGTTTGAATCCGGCAGGTTGGATTTTTTTTTCTGCATTTAATCAAATTATATTATTATCATTAAGAGAGTTAAATAAAGTAGGCTTCTTAATATTTTAGAAGTTGCACTCTCAAGAGTATTGGATTTGGCGGTCACGGTAAAAAAATATTTTGAGTGAGAAGTCTATGGAAAAAATTGAGTTTATGAGTATTCTTTTTTATTTTAATTTTAAAAGGTTAGTTATATTTATTTAAGTTTTTGTTTGAATATAAATGTAATTATAGTTTTAAAATGATGTGATCGAATTTACACCAAACTATTATTCATGAATCTTATTTTTAATTTTAATTTTTAATTTCTAAGATATAATTGATACGACAAGATAACATAAATTTAAATTTCTCTGCAATAAAACCCAATTTATTATTAATATATTAACTTAAATAATAAAAATTTATAATTGACTTAACAATCCTGCATAAACTAAAATTAAGTCGTCTTGCTGTATCGATTGCTTTTAAAATATTATTTTTGAAGTCCAAAATAATATTGATGAACAACAACTTAGTGTAGACACAAAGCATTAGTCTTAAATATATTTATTTAGTGTAGACAAGGCTCCAATAAAAAAATTTGAATGTTCTTAATATTTCAATATTTTTGAGTATATACTTTTTAATTTCTTTCAAATAAGTTGAGATATATAATTGAGTATATATTTTAGTATATTTCCAACTATACCTCTTATGTGTTATGCAATTGTCGAATAACGTATGAGTGATTTTGTGCGGTGACAGTTTGGGTTCGCACAATCTACTTTTGAACCATCTAATGACTCAGACAAATTACATAAAATCGACATATGAGAGAAGACCGATGTTAATTAAGAGAAAAAGTGCATCAATTAGTTAGTGTTGTTGGACAAGTTACTATATATGTTGAGAAAATCTTTTTATATATCTCCAGAACTTCATACCAAGATATGAACATCAGAAAATTAAAATAAAGAAGTCTCATAAAGGACTCGCACATTAATTACCCCACATATCATAATGTGAACGGTAAAATCTCACATAACATTCACTTCCGAAATCGTTTTCATGGAATTTAAGCATTCAGTATGGCCTTTGACCAATATAATTCCCAGGAGGATCATAGTTGCAAGTCATGAAAATGCCCCTCCCCCCATCACACACCACTTCGGCGCACCCAATTCTCTTGGTTTTACCCCACACGATCTGCGTATAATGCCCGCATGACTGCCCTCCGGCTCACGAATTCGATCGGTAATTATACCATTTCTTCTCCGAAACCGAAGCCACCGCCGCCTGAGACGGCGTCCACCCGTTGCCGCTACCCCAAAAGATATTCTCCCCATAGGGTCCATTCGAGTGCCTCAAAGCACAGTCTTTCTTCCTTTGGTTAGCGTACTTCTGAGCGTAACGCGCCAGCCTCGAATCCCACACCAATGGCCGCATTCTAATGGCGGCACGAGCTTCATTTTGAGGATCCATAAACTGATTCACCAGCCTCAGATAATTCGCTGCCTGAGCCGTCGATAAAAACAAAAGGAAAACGATGGTTGTGCTGCCATATCAGGCTCTCTTTCGAGCTATTTCCATTGCTGAATGAGGGCCAATGCACACGGCAAAGATTTTTCACAACGTATTATATAAACATGGAATTTATTTTTGTTTATTGATTTGTTAATGGTAGTTAGATAAAGAAGGTAGAAAAGTTTGGAGTATGGGGTGGCAAGCATGTTCGGTTATGATTGCTGCATTTTGTTTTGGTTGGTGGGACAAAGTTTTTTTCAGACCCTAAATTCTTGCTTTCATAATCTCCATTTTTTAAGGGTTGGCACCTGTTTTCTCGGGGCTCTTCATTCTCATGAGTCCACGCCCCCGTTTTGAGATAAGACGATATGCAAAACGACACTATATGATGTCGTTGCAAAACGTTCCGTAATTTATTCTTTGTTATTTGAATGAAAAATCAGGATTGATGAGAAAACAATAGTTAATCCTAGTTATAAGACAACTAACGTCAGACTTATGAAGATGATAGTTGTCAAACTCTAATAGTTTATGTGAGATTATTAGATGTCCAATTATGATAATCATAAGATTATCGTTATCTAAGAATTATGTGACTATGAATAAACAGTGAATAGAGATGTGATTATCGAGAGACGTCTCTCAAAAACATCTTTGAAAGGATAACACTATGGATGAAAACATATTACTAATTAAATTTTAAATAAAATATATGTCATTAAACTAAATAAGTTCACTTTCGGAATATAATGTTAGAATAGAAAAGTTACAAGGTTCGTCACGCTGTTTTAAAATTGTATTTGATATATATAATAATACAATATTCAGGCCATATTTCTCTAATCTTCATTCAACCAATCAAATTGCAATACGTCGTAGGAATGTATAGTGCTAAAGCTAAAATATATTGAATATTTAATAAAGTGATTATGTACACCAAGTTATAAAAGGATGGAATTTTGCCAATTAAGTCCATCTGACTTTATACATATATAAATATAAATTAATAATATTTTAGGTGTTTTTATAACATTTTTTATAAGTTATTCTGATATTATCAAGTCTGAGAAACTTTTGTATCACTATCCACCGGTTAGTCTATAAATAAGCTTCTAATATATTCTTAAATGCCATTGTAATTTCTTTTTCAAGCAAAGGATATTGTTACACTTGAGCTGTCACGTCTCTTGATCCATGAACGTATTTTTAAAACTATCCTTTGATATTTTCATATTTTATAATCTAACGATCCAGAATCATGTCGGTCACATATTTGTATTACTTTATAAGAACTTAAACTAAATCATTCCACGATTTTGTGTGTTTGACTTAGTTGGTTATACCACGTAACACCGGATATCATCAAAATATCTTGAAAATAGTGTATTAAATAATTTCTCATTCATGCCCTGTTATTTTTTTATAGAACATAGTAAGAGATAGTTGATGAAAATGCAATACAAAAGAGACAAAGAAAACAACATGGATCAGTACGAAACAAAATAATCAACAAAATAGTAATTGTCATATACCCAGACATGATTTATCAAAGTAAATCTTATCTATATATGATTTCTAGCCAAATATACATTGTTAAGTAAACCCTATCATGAACTAATTCAAATATGAAATTGAAGTTTAATTTTTTTTCAACCAAAAAACATTAAACCATAATTCAATTTATCATATTTAGTAGGAAAATTGCATTTTCAGTTAATCATTAATATATTCTATTAATTGACTAATTTAAATCTAGAGTCGTATTATGAAGGCGATTTTCTAATCCATTTATTTCATTTACAATATCAAGATTCAAACTTCTGACATTATTTAAAATATCTAATATATCATTGTATTAGATCAACTGATTATTAACGACCACGCATCATATATTGAATTTTACGAAGAAATAACATTTAATTTAATGGTAGCCACCTAATCTATCTCCCCAAATTAACAGAGAAGAAGAGCCATTTATATCATATCCCCAACCCGACCCGACCCGAACTTGATCGAGTTTCGGGTTTCTCCGTCGAGTTCGGATCATACTGTCATCCCTAATTAAACATGTTTAATGGCTCCATATCACCAGATTTAAAGGAGGAGAGGAATCTAGATATATATAAGAAACAAATTAAAATATATTGCAAATTTTAGTACATATTAAATAGTTTATTGAATTTATGTCAGGAACGAATCAGACACCCACTGAATTTAGAAATGAAAAAAGTCAATTTTTATTAAATATTCAATAATTTATTAAATATATAAATAAAATTTATATAAACTTCTACAAAACTTTTTATCACGATATCTATAATTTTTATTAAATAAATTTCTAAAATTATTTTTTTACATAAAACATATTTTTTCACTTCCACAACAAATATGACAGATTCTCTACTATATATAATTATTTTGCTACGAATAATTCAACTTTAGCTGTTTTTTTTTAATAAAAATGCTCTCCATGCCTTTACAAAAAACAGTACAGGAGGTGCATATGCTCCGTTAATTAAGGTGAAAGTTCAATTACTCCGGCGATCCCGGCTCCCTTAAAAGTAACTAATATCGATTGACTTTTACGTAACTACGAGAAAACATTCTCAGATATAGAGAAGTTAGAATCTTTTGATATGAACTCTGACAGACTCATTATGTTAGTAAATAATAGTATAATGGACGTTATCCCAAGGTTAAAAGTTAAAACAACCTTTCAAATATCGTATACCCCAAGAAGTGAAAAAATAGAACTTGTTTGTGTTGCTCTCTTCAACGATTAAACTTTTTAGAAGAAAGACTATTCATTTTATAAAAATAGGAAAGGGGTAAAATTATCGAGAACTATTCACTCCAACCACCTCTTAGATGTGGATAACTCATTCACCAAATTTACTCCCACAAATTGTATTACTCACAATACTCCATAAATGCAAATAAGTAGAAAACTTTAAATGTGAGAAAGAACAAACATCGAAATTAGTGACTTAAGTACTAGTGAACACATCTGGAACTACTACGTAGCGGAATGAGCAATTTTTCTTCTGACAAATGAGTGAATCTAAAACTTATTAAAATATGAGTAAACTCACAACACGCGATTAATTTATTCGTCAAATGATTCTACAACCGATCAATAGATTTAGGTAATATACATCTTGATGCTGATAAGTATTTACGAAAACAATTCAATTTTTTTCATAGGAGATAACTAATTCTTTATACTTATATAAGTGATTTAAAAATTATCTCGACAATTCTTGATTAAAAACATATTGTTTCATACCCATGTTATCATCGCCATATTATAAGTATCGAATGATAGGCACCATATATAATGGTGTTAATTTTGCCTTGTTTCAAGAGTAATACAACGCAGAAATTATTCAAGATTAATAAACGTAGACCAAAGAATAGATACAGGAATGAAATGGATTCATGAATAAGCCAAGGAAAATGATCGCTGTAAATCTTATAGATTAATGATTTTTTCTATAAATTTTATAAATTCTATTAATCTGTTTTTTATCCTTTAAAATTTTATAAATTCAATTCCCCGTCCATGCAAACGACTCATGCGCAGGGCCACAATCAGTAACGAATGGAACGATCTCTTTAATATAATATAATCATATACATCTGTTAAGCCAGGTTTTACACCATAAAATATGAACAATAAAATAATAATAATAGTACCAAAACTGGATCAAAAGCATGCAAGTGCCATGCATTATTAATTACCATCAGCTTTTACATACATGTCTTTAAAGACAAAACATATATGCATACATCCTCTAGTACCACTATCGTTATTGCATTTACCTGTCCATGGTAATGAGAAACCATTTTCGTGAAAAATATATAAGATTATAAAACCTGTTGAAACTCACATCAAATCCCAACCCTAATTTCATGGCTCTCCCTCTCCTTGAGAACATAATTCAGCCCAGGTTGTGGTCTACATTTGACCCTCGAAACGACTGTGTCGCGGTACTACAAGAATTCCATTACAGCAGAACCAAATGCATGGCATTATTAGACATTTAGACTAACCGGTAGATGACCAAAAACTGCATTAACTGGATGTCTTACTTTTGTTTTTCCCCACATGCAGTCTCGCCGTTGCTTCAGGATTGGTTTCATTTTACATTTATAGCAGCAGCCATGCTCCTCAACTTCTGAGATATTTCGGAAAATGGAGGTCTCTCTGCAGCATCAGAGGCCCAACACTTTTCCATCAACGCCTTCCATTCAGGATCGCACCATGACGGTATTTTTGGCCGTAACGTGTTGTTTACAATTCCCCCTGTATATTAAAAGAAAAATATAGATGTGTATATATATTTGCATATTGGGAGTTTGCAGTAAGAATACCATTATCAAGACAAGTTCACATCTAAAACTATAAAAACAGATTTAAGTCCAAAAACATGAACCCGTTCAATTATGATTGGTTCATACTTATAGTTTTAACGTCGTTTAGTTAAGAGGATAATATGTGTTATGTATTCAAAAGTCAGGCGTTCAAATTCCAAGTATGAACCCCTGTAATTCAAAAAATGTTAGGTACCTAATTGCACCAAGAAAATAATAGTTGGGTGCCTAATTGCACCCAAAAAAAGTTATCTAATTGCACCATTAAGAAAAAGTTAGGTACCACATTCCACATAAATGCCAAATTTAGGTACCACATTCCACATAAATGCCAAATTTAGGTACCAAAAGCTATATTTACCCAAAACAAAAGTAAGAACAAAAGTTTCCTTAGAAAGTAGTTGCTTATTGATCATTGGGAAGTTCCTCCATGAACAGTCAGCGACTATACTAAAATTTTAACATGTGAAGCACACTCTGATAATGCCAGGAGCATCAAACTTACAAAAAGAAAAAGACCCGACAATTTCAATGAGGCCACTGCTTTCACAAATCAATGGAGGATCAGAATAAAGGCTTTATTAGGGTGTATCATTGTTTAGAGTTACTTATAGGAAAAAAGCTTGCAGTTTAAATGTTGATTATCATAAAGTTTCAAGAACTTTGCCATGTTTGGATATTGAAAGTATTTTCTTTCCCTACCCGGTTTCTCCTCTGGTACTGCACGAGCAGGTAATTGAAAAACAGTAGTAAAATAAATAAATAGAAAAGAGCAGAAGTTCAACATGACAATAAACTATTAGTTTCAAGGTTCAAAAGCAGTAAGTCAAATGAATAGCATCAATTATACAAAAGAATAAGCCGAAGCAAACAATATTGAAGAACAGAACAAGGTTGAGATTTCAAGCTTAAGGCTTTCTGAGAATGGAGAATTTGTAATCAAAAGGTGAAGATTCGTAACCACTTTCCTTGAACAACAAATTTCCACTCACTCCTTTTCATCCTTCATACCAAGCAAAGCCCAAGTCTAAAGGCAAAAAGAAAGCAAGGAAAGCTCAGAATCGAAAAGGGATTTCCTAACAAGGAATCTCTTCTATTCCCCTACAACCACCCCATCCCTTTTCATCCTTCATACCAAGCAAAGCCTAAGTCTAAAGGCAAAAAGAAAGCAAGGAAAGCTCAGAATCGAAAAGGGATTTCCTAACAAGGAATCTCTTCTATTCCCCTACAACCACCCCATCCCTTGGTGTCCCTAAACACTCCCCTTAAATTCTATGCTTGTTCGGATGCAGAGAGTGCAATTATGAATGTTCTCCATGCATAGAAGAAATGAAGCTCGTGAATATAATTAAAACTACCAAAAATTCTGATAGTATGAAAGGACAAAACAACCCTGAATAAAAATAGTTCAGGTCATTTCTACTTGTCACAAATACAAGCATTTCTATTATGACCCTTACAACTTACAAGTTAAGAAACAATCACAACATCCAATCTTTTTCCAGAAAAGACAACTTTACCCCAAAGCATGCATTGTTTAAGTGCCCTATCCTCACAGGAACTCATGTTTTAGTTGGAGATTCCAAATGTGCAAAAAAAAGTTGCAAAATGTTTCTTTTTCCCCCAAACATGAATTAAGAATCTCCAAATATCTTTTCCACTAATTTTCCTTCTTTTTTTCCAACTACTGATTGAAGGTTGTTAAACAAAATCAAATTGTAGATAAAAGATCGATCAAAAGAAAAGCTAGTCAGCAATGATGACTGTCAGGTTGATAAAAATTAATCACATCTACAGTGTTTGGCATGATTATGACTGTCAGGCATAGATCCACATCAACAAATGAATGTTCAATTTTCCATAGCTTCTTCCATATACCAAATGCATATACTGATGGAAATGTCTAATATATGCATCGAAAGTTTTGCCAGTGTAAAGTGAAGAGTTGAAGTAACAAAGATATTGTGCAAAATGTATGGAAGACTTGTAGCAAATCACTCGCAACATATACATACTATTTATGACACTTACCAATTATAGAAGCACAATGCATATCTGCATAAGGCTCTTCACCAGTGAGTAACTCCCACATAACAATGCCAAAAGAGTAGATATCAATCTGAAGCACATAACAATGAAAAATAGTGTCCTAAGAAGCTGCGAACTGATGTTGGAAACAACTGTATCCATCCACATGTTTTCTATGGTCAGTGTAAAATATTATTACCTTTTCAGATACCATGTTGCTTTTACCACTCAAAAGCTCAGGTGCCATCCAGGGTAGAGTTCCACGAACACCTCCCGAAACTAAAGTATGTTGTCTGACCTTTGACAAGCCCAAATCACCAATCTAAAAGTGTATGCATGTAATGCATTAGTTGCAACTCTGTTGATCATTGAAAGAAAACTAATACTAGAGTGCTTTCAAGAAAATTTATGAAAGAATCAATTGAAGACCAAGCTAATAAGAGCTAATGCTGAAGAAACAATATCAACAAGAAACTCTTACCAAGCTTCCACAGTTAAAGAAATCACAGCAAGCTGACAAAACATTCGAAAGTAACTTGGGAAGAAGAGAAAAATTTGTTGTCCTCCCACCCCTCCAAAAAGAAGTGAGGGAAATAACACAAATTGAAATCTAACTTAAAGGCTGAGGTCCAGAAACAATTTATAAGACTACCTTGCACACTGGACGCTGTGGATCTCTCATATTTACCAAAAGATTTTCACATTTCAAATCAAAATGCACAATGTTCTTTCCATGCAAATATTCCATTCCAAATGCAGCATCCATGGCTATGATGAGTCTCTTACGACGATCAATGGTCCTGCTCAATAATACTATCACGTCACACATTATTTACGAAAATAATACATTCTGGCTTGTTTAGTCTACTATGAAACAAAAAGGGCGCATGATATGGAAAACTACAACAATTCTAGAACAACTTCAGAGAAGATGCTCAAAAGGCAACCTGATTGCATAGCCTATTAACATGGTTACCTATCCTTCTTCTGTAAAAACTGCTTCAAGGATCCATTAACCATGAACTCTGTAACAGTAGCTAATGATCCATCAGGGCCATCGCGAACTATTCCATAGAAAGAAACAACATTTGGATGATGTAATGAACTCAATATCAGAGCTTCTTTCCAGAAATCTGCAATCTACAGAATCATAAAAATAGATATTGCTATCAATCGATTTATAAGAAGAATAAAAATATTATATATATTAGAGCTCTTGAAAGAAAATCCATCAGAGGTCCTTACTAACCCAACAATTGGACCACGTGTACAAAATATAAAAGGAAAATAGCAAAATACTGATCTACCAAAAACATATAGATGGACAATCATATATATGGCAACAAGGAACTCCTACTTCAGTAATAACCAAATCTCATGAACTTTTGATAATGTCATAGTAGAAATGGAAATTTCCAACATTCAATTCACCAGCTGAATTACATCCTTATAATCATAACATTTATAAGAAAAAAAAAACCCTTTTCCGTTTTCATTTCGCTAAAGATCAAAGGTAAGTAAGCCATTAAATTCCTTGAGTGCAGACATAAAAAAGAAGAAGAAACAAACATAAGCTACACACACATATATATAATGCTGTAAAGCCCTTTCTTCAAGCTATACAAGCACCATCTTTGCTCATTGTCAATGGTGGAAAATAAATAAAAAGCAAAGCATGAATTATCTATAAAACACATCAGGTGAATCATTTGTCATTCTTTTAACTATCAAGAAGCCTCAAATTACAAGCTACCAAAGCTATGAAAGGAAAATTGATAACAGTTATTACCAATCGTTCTCTTTCAGAAGGCTTCCCTGCAAAACAGCTGGCTTTAATTCTCTTGATTGCTACATCAGAACCTTTCCATTTGCCATGATAAACTGCCCCATATGTTCCAGAGCCTAATTGTCGGATCTCCTCTAGATCATCGTTCTTTATTGTCTTAAGGTTAAAATGCAAATACCATCAGAAACACAACAGTAACAAAAATGTCTAAACAAAGTAAAAAATAAAAAATCAATGATCTTAAGAAATAATGGAGGAAGAAATTAAAGTTAATATGATGAAAAAGAAAAAGGCAACAATGACCTGTAAGCCTCGCGCAATAGCTTCAGCCTCAGCCCTTGTAGGCTCAATTTTGGACTGGGATATGTTATCATTATCAGAATCCAGTTCCACCTCACCATGGGCATTCTGCAGACCAAACAGAAATTAGAAGATACAAATAAAAAATTGTGAGATTGTTATATGTGAAACTTTTCTTAAATCTCACCACTGAATCGGATTCATTTGCAGATGCTTCTCCTTGAACTGCATCACGCTTCAGGGAGGTACCATCTTCAACTTTGGCTTTCACTTCTTCAACCTCTTCTAAAGCTGCTTTTTTAACTGATGCAACAAACTGAGGTATGAAACTCAAATGGTTTACAGATAGCTTTGAATTTTCAGCAGCACTAGGATCTTTTCCACCAGGTTTTGCTTGCTCACCGCCCTTTTCAACAAGTTTTTTTCCACTTGAAATGCTAGTATCAACAGATGCTGTTTCAGATTCATTTTCAATAATTTTGTTTTGCTCAGCGCAGCTCATACTTGGAATGTCAAAATTTTCCATCTTCACTGCATGACTTGCTTCTTTATCTACCATGGCTACAATTTTCTCCTCAGTCAATGCCCCAATGGCATCAGAATGATCTCGTGATCTAGGCTTGTTACTGGAAACCGAGTTATAGGGAATTAAAGTCGAAGGTAGATCCGGACACTGAATAGGTTCTGTGGTAATGGCAACATTTAGCATGTCTTGTTGGCATTGAACTGGTTGCATTGTGACAGATTGTGGAGTTTCTAGATCATGAGAATCAATGTTCTCCTTAAGAGGATGGGCGTAAGCATTGTCTGGAACAGCGGTCCCATTAAAACCTGGCATCTTTTGTGAAGACTCAACCCAAGGATTTTGATTATCTGTTGCAACACAAAGCGTTGAACTACCTTCCACCAGACCTTTCAAATGTGCCGAGTTAAATGCACCATTTATTTGTTCCGCTAAGCCAGATGCTTCGTAAGCAGTAGCACCATGAGTTGGGTTCTGAACATTTCTCCACAAGGACTGTGCATGTACATGTCCATGTGGCGCTTGGTATATATTATCTCCTCCATAAGGGTAAGGATAATTCCCATAGCGAACTCCGTGTTCTTCAGGAGAAATTTGCAGATGGGGTGAAGGAACCACAACTTGATCGTGAAATGCTTCGTTTCCCAATTCAGATCCACATTGGTGATGAACATAATTTGAGGGCAGATGATGGCCATCAGCTATACTAGCATGCCCGAGAGGTAAATTCATGCCAGCACTATCTAGAAAATAGTGGTCATTAAACCTTCTAGCTACAGGTACATGACTTCTCACTTCCTCAACACAAGGGTTCAATTGGTTCTGCAAGACCCGTCCTCTTTCATTACTGTGTGTTTCACCATAAACAGAACCGGAATCAGTCTGACCTTTGGGATAAAAGCCGTGCTGAGATTTTCCATCTGCATTCAGCATAAAAGCTTCATGGTTTGGGGGGCATTCTGCACACAGATTATTAACCTGAGGACCACCATTTCCCATGTTGGGATGTTCCAAATGCGGCGATTGATTTCTGCTGAAAGTGGCTCTGTAGTGCTCACAGATGTGGTTTCCCTCATAAACACCATGTCCATGAAGTATGTTACCAGGAAAACCACCTACCTTATTACCAGGTATAGCTCCAGTTGGCATCCATACTCCATTATCTGAAAACTGTGGTTGGTGTTCATATTGATGATGATGACTCAATTGCTGCCTCACATATTCCTCAGGCAATCTATCCAGGCATTTGTCTGTTGATTCTGGAAATGGTACTCGGTAACGAGTTGAAGATGGTGAAGGCGGAAAATCTGATAGCATTCTAGGATCATGGTGCCCATGGTGCCTAGGAGAATAATAAGCAGGACTCCATGTACCTTCCATTTCATTGTACCTCTGAGGAACTGGTGGCAGTAGTTGCCCAGATCCCATCTGAGGAATATTAAGATGATGCAAATTACATGGCGGCATCAACATCTCACCGTTCCTCTGGCTATGAAGGCCAGCATCAACACTCATACTGTTAAAGAATTGTTCTACTAAACGAATATCATCTGAAACTGGGGCCATCACAGGAGAGTCACACTTGTTATAATCAGAGTCATCATTTAAACTGTTCAATGCATCCACATACCTCCTCTCACTTTCTCTCTCATCCCCATCAACATAGTGTGATGAACCATCTCTGTCAGGATGAGAAAACAAAAAAATTCTAAGCCTGGTGAATCCATCACCAGCGCCCAGCTTCTCATACTCCTCCATCATGTTAGTAACATCATCATCATTCACAACTGACACCAAAGCATCAAGATCCTCATCTGGCTGCTGATATTTCAAAACTACTGCCCCATCGTAAAGCTCCCTCATCTTAATCATCAAATCCTCATAACTAATATCTCTAGGCAGGCTTACAATTCGCGTTTCACCACCAACATACCTCAATTTCCCATCTTGTGGTCGAGGCAAAATGCTACCGAGGAAGCTACATAAGAATTTTAGACGCGGGGTTTCATCATTCGAACCAGGGACAGAGGAAGCCAAGGCAGATACCGTGGTTGATGAAGGCGAATCCATCAAATACACAGCTTGATTATTATGCTGCTGTTGATGATCATCTATTCCCTTGTTACACATGGGAAGGTTTTCACTTTTCAGCTCACACCATGTAAAACAGAATCGAAACTCTACTCAATTTGTAAACCAAATATCCAAGTCACAAATTGAGCACCAGGAACAGATTGATTCCTCTCTCTGGAAACACAAAAAAAATACCACAGATCGTCAAAAAATCAATCAAATTCTCAACACACAAAAATCCTAAGAAGAAAAAAACTAAATTGAATCGAAATGGGCAAACAAAAAACCAACCAATCAACCAACTTCTTCTCCAGCAGCTCAAACGGACCCCAGAAATGCTTCAAAATTTAGCAGTGTCCAGATTCATTAAAAGGAACCCAAATCAGCTTTAAACAGAAAGAGACTAAATCCAAAACTAAAGAACGAGTACCTGAAAATCGGGGATTGCAAAAAGAGTTAAAAAAATCATCATTCTGCTTGATGGGGTGAAGCTGTTTCTTTATTAAATGAAGAATGGCGAGAATATGGGTCAATCTAAAGAGAGACCAAAAAAGCAAGTAGAGAAAAATAGGAGAAATTGAAGGTAGAAGAGGAAGAAGGGGAAGAGGAGCAGCATAGGCCATAGGCAAATGGGAAATTTTCTGGAATGATGCCAGGTCGTGCCAACGGTGTAACTCCAGGTAACGTTCCACGTGGCGCAACCATCTCTTCACACCATTTCTTTCTCTTTTATTATTTTCTTTTCACTCTATTTATTTATTAGGGAAAATTACTTTGGATATGATTGAACTTTATCTATTGACTCGTTTATACCATTAAACTTTTAATTTTGTAAATTATAACGCTAAACTTTAGTTTTACATTCAATTATATCACTCTGTCATTAAGTCAATAACCGAATGATGACATGACTAATAGTTGCTAATGTGATCTGTCACACTAAAACAACGTTATTTTTGTGCGCCTGTTCTAATTCCTAAAACGACGTCGTTTTAGATACTGAAATTTTGGGGTGTATCGATTTCCCATTAAATTTTTAAACAATTTTCTTTTTAGCACTACACTTTCTGGTCGTCGCTGGCAGCCAAACATCACCGGTTATTGGTCATATTTTGTGACAAGATCGGTACCAAAACGTTCGTATTTCACTTCTCTTTCTTCTCCTAAGATTGATTTTTTACGAAACCCACTGAAAAATGACAAAAATCCATTTAAAAGTTTGACGTATTAATACTATGATCTCTTTCAATAAACGTCTGATGAGGCTAATTTTGAAATATGTTGTTTGTCTTCTTGAAATAGTATTTTTCACCATTCATATTTTTGAAAAAACACTCGAAATCCCATAAATCTAAAAAAACTCCAAACATTTAAAAAATGATAGATTTATTTTGTTTAATTTCGTCGATTTTGAGTGGATTTCATATAAAATTAATCATATAAGAAGAATGGGGAGTAGAATACAAACATTTTGGTACTGATTTTGTCGTAAATGATGATTAAAGACGGGCGATGATTAACGGTAAAAAAATACATTGCTAAAAAAGAAAATTGTTTAAAAGTTCAGTGACAAAATATATACACCCCTATTGTTCATTGTCTAAAACGACGTCATTTTAGGCATCAAAACAACCATACCAAAATAATATCGTTTTGGTGTGGCAGACTACGTCAGCAACCGTTAGCTATGTCAGCATCTCTTTAGAGACTTAATTATAAAGTGACATAATTGAATGTAAAACTAAAGTTTATTGTTATAATAGACAAAATTAAAAGTTAAATGGTATAAACGAGTCAGTACGTAAAGTTTAGTGATATTAAAGTAGTTTTTCCTATTAGTATCCCTTCCCTAAATCGTGTGCTAAAGGTTACATTTTAATGGGAGGTAAAAATAATAGGGGTAAACTATACGGATGATCTTTTACATTTTTTGTATACTCAATTTTAGTCACCGGTTAAAAAAAGAGTGATTTTGGTATTTTAGGTTATCAGTTCATTCGATTTTAATTCGTCTGTCGTTAACTGTAGTTAACCCATTAAAAGTTTGAGTTGGCAATTAAAAAATTCATGGGTGTTTAGTAGCAATACTATTTATGACATTAGTAACGATATTACTCAATAAAGTATCAACACTCACCACGCAACGACTATAGTTTTGTAATTAATACAAATAGTACTAATATTCATCCCTACAATATCGATACTTTAGGTGTATGGCTAGCATTTATTGCAAAAAAATCCATATGCATCAGTTATATTATCTCCCACAACTACTTAAACGTCTACAATTGATTGGAGGGATATAAAAGAAAGATCCTAAGGTATAGATGAGAATAAGAGATCATAAAGAAAGCTAGAGCATTCAATTTGAGCAAAAAAAGAGTCAAATTGTATTCATATTCCTTTTGTTTCCAAAGAACACTTGTTACACTTTTTTATAATTCTTTTTTCAAGTGTTCCATTCGTTTTTTCTTTAATCGTGCAAACACATTTATTGTGATCTTTTTTAAAGTTTGTTAATTGTAATTTATTCTTTAAGAGAGTATCTCAAGAATTTGAAGTGTAATTATTGAGCAAATTTATAAGGTTACCCCTTATCCTCGAATGTACAAAATAACTAATTTATAATAATTCTTAGTGTGGATAACGAATGTAGTGGACATAAACTCCATTGATGAAGTTTTTTCGTATTCATTTTTTATATTTTTCTTCAAGCTTCACCAAAAAAATTATTTGTCAATTCACATCTCTTAACTATTTTATTCGATCAATTGACTCAACAAAAGATATGTTCGAACATAAGATGTCACACTTAATGAACGTAGCAAATACCGAAATAATCATATCATTTAAACAAATAATATAAACAATCAATTCACTTCATTGAAAAGGTACTTAATGACATTCCAAGCATTTTAAAAAAAATCATACATGAATGATACGTTAATCATTTGGGCCTACTTAGTTTCTTTAGGTTTACATAAGTAAATTTAAACTTTTTTGATATAGTCTCGAGACTGATTTGATTTGAAGTATATGTGTAACACCCCAACCCGTACCCGACCCGGATACGAGTCTGAGGTGTCACATTGACTTTTCAAACTTTGACTCTTGATAAAATTCAAAGAATTTTTAAAACATTTCATTAAAGTAAAAGAGGTTTAGTTATATAAACTGACCACAATAACCAAAATCAATCAGAGCATATTTAATTCAACCAATTAGTACATGCCAATTATACTCAAAATAACCAAAAACATTTAAATCCTCTATTTTCTGATCTGAAATTTTGTAAGGGAGGTGCTGACCTGTCTTACTCTTCTTCTCTTCTCTTCTTGCTTCTGTACCCTACGTGTGAAACAATCACACGCTAAGTCGAAGACTTAGTGAGGCATAAAAAAACTTATAATGCACTTTATAACATATATCAATACATGCATGTTGTGTTCTATCATGTTATACCAAATTACATGCTTTCTTCGTATCATATAAAATCATATCAGATTAATTACAGTAAATAAATACATACACATAACTCATCATTAACAGTTTATCATGTAATCACCTACTTTTATGCTTAACCTTTTCAATCAAACACTATACACACACAACATCATATCATTTCTATAACATTTATCATACCACTAACATACTTGATTAGCCCATGTACATATGTGAGAACTATAGATATGTGAGTTTATGGAGATTGTGCACTAATGTTGTCACCACAGCTCATATAAATACACCGAAGTGTCACATAGAATTACACCATAGTGCCGCGTAGAATTGCACCGTAGTGCCATATAATAATGTCCATAAGGACCACATATCATTCCTTAAGAATCATATACATATGCCAAAGATCAAGTATGTGTCTTACCAGACTTCACAAATGTTCCAAAGAATACATATATGTCCCGAAGGACCACATATAATTCCTTAAGAATCATATACATATGCCAAGGATCAAGTATGTATCTTACCAGACTTCACACATGTTCCAAATAATACATATATGTCCCGAAGGACCACATATCATTCCTTAAGAATCATATACATATGCCAAGGATCAAGTATGTGTCTCACCAGACTTCACACATGTTCCAAAGAATACATATATGTCCCGAAGGACCACATAGACCCTCGACTCTTGGCATGCCAACTATACCCCTAGCTCTCATGACACATAACATTGGCATTGTCATTTATATCATTTCATATTCACACATGCATATTAATTATCTTTTATCACACGTCTGATCTCTTATAATCATGTAATCACATAGCTCATGTCATTTCTTGTAAAATCACATATATCATGTAATACATATAACTTATACACTTTCTCATATGTTCACATGGTTCACATCACATGAATCATATCTTTTCATATAGTTTATGCTTTATTCTCTTATATTCCCATACATGTAATACATATCAAGCATGGTTACACAACTCCTTTCGATATAACTTGCATGTACCTATATTCCTTTTCATATACTCACATAGTCATATAGTATAATATTTCATATAACCTCATGAAACAACTCACATGGATACATACTCAAATACTCATAGTTACATATCACTTAAATTATTCATATTTACCTAATCCATGGTCATATAGCTTTTATCACCAAGTCACTTATCTAATCTCTTATTCTCATATGTTCATATTTATCATATAACACATAAGTTTTATTGCATATTTATATCTCATTCCTACATCACTAATTCATAATATAATTTACATCATATCATCTACTTTATTCTGTATTTCTTAGTATACACTTACATTACCTAACCTACATTATACTTATAAACCTGAATATATTACTTCTATTATTTCTTTTATGTACAATTTAATCTATTTACTTAACTCAATTACGTACAACTCCTATAATCATTTCATATCACTCCATATCTTCTATTATACAACTAATGTATCATAATTTTATTTAAGCATATGAATCTTTCTCCTCTATCTTATCTTATATGCTCATAGTATCACTGAAGTTCAAGTCTCCTGGTTAATATATATTATTTATGTAACTTTTGCTTACTTAGTTCATATCCTTTCTCATAAACTCACTTTTACCATATTCTCATGTTATTACTTAAATTATCTCATAACATGTATTCACGTAGTAATATTTCATTTATATATCAAAGATCTTATCACATAACTTATCTTTTATATTCATATAATTTATTATCATATCATATGGTTTATATCATCATAACATATCACACATTCACATCAACCATATAATACATATATACAATACATGTCAACACGTATGAATCATACACATATATACTTCTATTTATGAATTCATGCATTTTACTATGGAAAATAGACTTGTCGCAAGTCTTATTTCCATTTAACATCGTATAATACTAATATGCACTCACCTGGCCTCACTAGTCCATTCCAATCTCTTATCTTCCCTTTTTATCGATCTTACTTGTCAATGATTCCGGAACTCGTTTAGGCTTTGAATCTACATAATTATACATTTTAAGACAATTATTAAATACCTACACCTTGTAATTTGATACTAGCAACTTAAACGAACTTATTAAACCAATATTTACAATTTTCCTTTAGGGGGAATCGGTTCCCTACTAAGGGGGT